AAAGAGATTGAAAATTTTTTTCAGCCAAAAAAAAGGGATGTGGGTCTTACACAAGGATAGGTTCTCGGAGACGTTTTCTCTGGCTTGAAGCAATTGAAGCAATTCCGGTTTCCGTCTAAAAGCTGAGGAGTATACGGTTTAAAAGCATCATTATAATATTCGTCCAAGAAGTCGAGGCGCCGACAACTTCAAACGAAAATAACTCGCCAAATCTCGATATTCTGCGGCACCGATCTTTTAAAGAAACCACGACCCATGCCGGTAAAAAATATTTTACTTACTTACTTTTCTTCAAAGCAAAAAATGCAAAAACTACAGCTGATTTGGCAAGAATTTGTCGCAATAAACAGCAGTAGGAATGCGGGCGAAAGGGAAAAGTTTTTCCATGTGCTGCAAATTATTATCACGCGATTCGCGCATCATCGCATATACGAGTACATTCACGTTGCTCAGTTTTTTCTCCTCTCGTCGTTCTTTCCCACTAATGTGATTTTACGTCAAACTAGAAGATGCGAAAAGAAAAAAAGCGGCAGAATACTGTGTACCCGGAAAAGAAAGAGGGACTTACTTTTTGGAGGCCAAATTCCTCGCGAAAAGCTCATCCGAAGGTCGCAAAAAAAAAAACTTCGAGAGGCGAATGAAGTAAATTTCGCGAATTTGGGGAACTGAAAATAATAATGCCTGTGTTTCCATGTTAGCTTATCATGATGCTTGTATACTGTATGTGACAGGAGATAATTTCGGCGTAGAGTAAATAAATACTGACAACGACAAAGCTCGAATAAAGTAGCTGAATAGTAAAAAACCAAGACAAATCCGTTGATGGGTCAAAATCAATGCGAGCCTAGACACAGTATATACTCTTCTTGTGAGAAAATCCAGCGTTTCAAAAATCCCGTTGTGCCGAAAACCCCAGCAGATTAATTATATTTTTTGCCGATTGCCAAATTATGTATAGATGATACAAATATTGTTCTGCAGAACTTAAGTCTATCTGAAAGTATCGAACTTCATCAAATGTCACCTCACAATGGTTTCTATAGGATTCCAACATGGAAACCCGGTGAATGAAATTTGTCTTCGAAACTGAATTTATACTTGATTGATAATTCCGAATCTTGCTTCACACCTCCACATACGTTAGTTGAGAAAATTGTTCTGTATGAATAAATCCACGTTTTAGGAAATTTTGCATCCTTCGAGATTTTCTCATGGAACGTCTCCTCGTCATTTATTACTTTTCAATTATTACGATTGTTGACGCAGTCCCGTAAGAAATTTCTCGGGAAAGTTTTCGAAGAAAGCTGCTTAAACAGGGGAAAAAAATCAAACACGTGTGTACAATACTGTCTTCATGTATAATTCTTCAAAGTAGAATAAAAATCAAATAAATAAAACGAAAAAATCTCGATCAAAATCCGAACAGTGGTCGTCGATTTCCTCTAGACCTCCAAGACTGGAACCAGTTGAACTTGATTTGTCCGTCGTCTTCGGTGGTCATTTCCACTTCATCGCGGTTCTCAAACATTTCGGAAAGCCCACTCGACATCCTGTCTTGAAACAAATTTTCCTGATTGTTCACGTTGTTGCGAGACTGCAAGAAATTGAGTGGCTGTTCTGGGGCATAATCGTAATGCCGCGGAAATTCGGGGTAATCGAACGAGTTCATGATGGGAGTAATGGTAGAGGTCACCTCTGGTTGTTCGGGGGAGCCGAAACTTTTCCTAGTCAACACGGGGAGAAGCATCCATGGCAAAAGGGCGAACAAAACGTCAAAAATTATAACTCCGATGGCTACGATCGGGGAAATGGATGAAGACTTGAACACGGAGTTCAGACGGGGATGCAACAGGTTTTGAGTAACGAATGTGAAAAAGCTTTTGAATAGTGAAGTCGGTTTTTCCGTTGTCTCCGGAATGTCGGTTGCGTCATCGTCTTGTGTCGTCATCAGAATCGCATCATCATCATCAGTGATTGAATCTCCTGGTAAAAGAAGGGGAGAGACATTTTTGTTGTTGTTGCTGGAATGAATTTGCATAGATGTACGGTAGAAGCAATAATCACCTTGTGTAGGTTCCGTGGATTCGATCCTTATTATTATTGGCGTTTCGGAAGTTGATGTTACGTTCTCTTGAATAAGTTGCGTCGAAGAAACGTTCAAATCATCCAGGAATCGCGCCTGAATCACAGATTCTTCAGTTGTTTTGTGTTCCAAGTGTTTCGCTGCACATGCACGGAGGTGTAAGCTGAAAATAAACAGAAGCATGAGTAATCCAGTCTTTTTTTTCTTTCAAATTTTCTGCCAATTATCAAAGGATCCCTATAAATTCGAGGACAAGAATTCTTGATACTGAGATTGCAACTTAAAATTAAATCTTCAGACTATATTTTTTTAACGTGGTGCCTATGGAGAAACTGCTCATGTATACAAAAATTGCTCTTGCGGAAAATTCCTTATTTGCAGATTCATTCTAACGGAATTTTCATATGTATTCGCATCTACAATGTTTTTCTCCGTTTTCGTTATTTTAAAACTGCTAACTTTTGGCGTGTCTCGTTTGTCTAATTTACATTTTAGTAAGGCTTAAAATATATCCTGAAATTTTACTTATCGCCGGAAAGTTATTAAGATTTTCTCTACAATTTCTCACCCAAAACACAAGGCTCCAAGAACGAAAGGAACCACCACCACGAAGGCCTGTACAACTCGCCGCTCCACAATCACAAGTGTCTTCATTGTTGAAGATTACTATTATGCACCTGCAAACAAGCAAGATTCGACTTCAACTAACCAGTTTTTTCCCCCAAAGACGAATATTAAGCCCGTATCCAACTAGGAGTGGAAGGTGAAAGGAAAATTGCAGAATTCTCAGAACATCCAAGGATATTCCCTGATAATCACTATCATGAAATCCTAGCTAAACCTTATTGGAATTGCTCCGAGAAATATTTCAAGGCCCTATAAATCGTATCAGAAGTCTAATCCCGGAGTAAAAAGGATAGATCGACTTTGGGCAAACGTATGAAAAGTCCACTTTTACCAACCGCCAATAAATAACATAGGTTTTGTCGAAAATGAAGATCGGTAAAGATACGCATTTTCCATCTATACAATGTCCTGCCGAATGTTGATAATTATTCCCTATGAAATTATGGCTTATCTTGGAGTAGTTCAAGGAATCTTTCAAAGCCGCAACGATTGATCAAAAATCGAAGGTCAATCCTAGAATGCAATGAGAGAAAAAGACAAGACTGAATCTAAAGAAGAATGAGGGGGAATTCAATTGTCATTAGCCATCAATGAAAAATATCAGTAATTTACAGAATCATAGCAATCTCGGAGTAGTTCAAGGAATCTTTCAAAGCCTCAACGATTGATGAAATATCCAAGGTCAATCCTAGAATACAATGAGAGAATCGATTCCTAATCCTATAATCCTGAAGTAGAATAACAGAATAGGCTAGATAGAAATTTGACGAACAACATAAGTGAGGTCCATTTTCATCAACCATCAATAAATAACAGCAACAGCATTTGTAAAAAAAAATAATAAAAATTAAAAGGAATACAGTGCGGGGACCATATGAAGGAGTGACATCTAAATTGAATTTTTTTTCTTCAAGAGTAATTCTCAAGCGAAGTCAAAGCGCGGTCGAGTTGCACGTGGACGTGCTTCATCAATTCATCGACGTGGCTCTGGATCACTGCACCGGTCATGGGCAAACTCCTCTTCCTCCGGTTGTAACCCCCGTATGAGGATTGCTGCTCATCCGGAACGTAAATCCCCGACGACTTCAACTTGCCAACGATGGGCAAAACGAGCCCGAGGAACAAGCCCAGGAGTCCCAGGAACTTGAACAGAATGAGCACGAAGATGGTGGCGAGGAACGCGAGCAACTCCGCGACCCGAGTAGTGATGATGGCCTTGAGACCCTTGAAGTTGGGGAGCTTTCCGGGAACTCCGGGCAAGCCGGGAATGCCTGGCAACCCCGGTGGGCCCGGGGGTCCAGGGATAAGAACGATCGGTGCGGATCCGGCTCGGGTTTTGGAGTCTTGGCTGCTGTTGGCATCCACTGAGTTGGTCTTATCGGTGTCAACAGGAAGGGAGGCATCTTCTGACTTGGTGTCTGCTGCTGTGCCCGACGCTTCCATGAGTTGGTTCAGGATGGATTGGATGCCTTTTTTTGGAGGAATGAAACACACATCACTACAGTTGAAAGAGTACCCACAGCTCACATGAGGTACAGTGTCAAATACTTTGGAACTCGACCATACATGAAATCTGATGCAATCATTTCGATCCAAGTATTTTCAGAATGAATTTCAAAATGAAAGACTTCACTTGATTATGTGAATATTATTTTCGCGAAGCTGTTTGACATTCATGACTTCTTGAAAGAACAAGTAAAAAAAAAAGANCACAGAAAAGTACGAATTACTTCAGTGAAATTGTGAATGTATCCCTCGACCTTTTTGATGGTATTTCAATCCTACGCATTTGACTTACAACTTAGAATTTATTTTAAAACTGATCTACATTATGCAGTATACTGTGAAATTTTTTGTATTACAACATTTACTTCAAGGTACAGTCTCATTTGATGGATGAATGCAGAAATTGTGAACAAATGACCAAGATCTGAAAATAATTTTTATTCTGAGACTTCATAAATATTCCAAATTATTTCAGCCTTGAATAAAAAAACTTGGACATTCGTTTGTGTCTTCGTAGAAATTCCTAATTTATCAGGATTCAGTATCAATATGAACACTCCGAAGAGTTGATGCAAATCTTGACGCAAGTTCGTAGAAAATATGCAAGTGTGCTGCAAAGTAAAGAGAAATCCTTGTCTTGTGTCCTATACACTAGACAAGACGCCTGTGAATGTATCCGAGGACATTTTTCTCTATAAGAACTGTTTAATAAAGAATTAGCTTCGTATATACGAGGGGTCTGATAAATGTTCACGGATGTTCTCGGAATTTGAAGTGAGACGGCATAAAATTGTGTTGATATTAAATATTTTTGACTAAACCCGCTATTCTTTGGCGCAAGAGAAAAATATTACTCGTTTCGGAAATTTAAAAAAAATGTATTTGCGAAATTCACCCTTGAAGCTTTCTGCTCTTATTTTACCCCAACTTTCCCCGCGCAATTCTTGAAATTGGCATGGCATAAAATTCAAGCGTTTTCGTCATGATTAGATATTTTATTCCGCCGTTTTCATCAACAACCGCCCGAACAGCCGCCACTTGGGATTCAAATGTGGCGGCTGTGAAGGCGGTTTCATTTCGATCCTGAGAACTTTTGTTATACCCCTCGGGATGGGATTTTGTGCAATGATTTTATTGTGGGGCGGGGGGAAACCGCACGGATAATTTTGTTCAGGAATTAGCCGCTGATACACGAAGAATCCATTCATACGAACCCATCGGTAAAGTTTCAAATTAATTACGCGAAAACATTCGATTTTAAACTCACCAGCAAGCCAACGCAAAAGAGCACAACACAAACGCGGCCAGAAGTTTCCCCATCATAATCAAAATACTTTATTCCACTGAAGAGGAAAAAAATAACTTGGACCTTTCCACACCGTGGTATTTGGAGAGCAACTGATATCAGGGATTCAGAAACAATTTTGCTGAGGCTCTTGGGATGACCCTGGGGATGCTTGAGGGGGTTGTCTCAGAGGATAACCCCCCAAGGACGTTTTGCCCAATCCAAAGAGTTTCTGCCAAGGCCTTTTTACCCAATTCGCTAATTCTTTATAACCTTGAATGATGGGGATGAGACATCGGAACGACCAAGGCTTACATTTTCCCCGGGTAACAGGTTATGCAACCCAGGGCATGGAGGATTGTTGCCATGCACAGTTTTTTCCAATCCTTACATTCCATTTGTATTTCGTTTGGTGCAAACCGGCGGCAGATTTCCATGAAATTTGGAAATGAATTCATTTTTAAAGTAAGCAAAATTTCAAAGATTGTCGTTCCTTTCAAAGAGGAAGAAAGCGGCTCCACACTACATAGGGTTTAGAAGTGTTGAATGAAATTTGAATTCAAGTTTTAGTAAAAAAAATCAATTTAAATTTAATTATGATTAATTTTCGATGAAAATGTGAATTTTATTTCCGACAATTCGAATTTAGATTAAATTCGAATCGATTTTCAGTAAAATATTTTATTTGTTTTCAGCAAAATTTGAGTTTAATTTCATTAAATTTGAATTTAATTTTCACTAAAATTTTCATTTAATTTTTCAATAAAATTCAACTTTAATGTTCAATAAAATGTGACAATTTTTTCACTAAAATTTGAATGAATATAGAATCATGAACCTTGAGTAAAATTTCCCCTTTTGTTCTTATACTCTTCCCCCTTCTGCTAAAAAAAACAGCTTGTATTTTCCTCTCAAATATGACTGTTACGATAGACCCGTTTTACATAATCTATCATTTACAAGTGTGATGAAAAAAAAAATTCTCCCTATCGCAATTTCATTATTCATGCATTTTTTGTGTGCAGAAAGTTGCCTAATCCCGCGTGAGAAGTAATCACACTATAATTTCCTTATGTTTCCTGAAGATAGTGGTCCAAAATGTAGCCAACGATTAATAAAGCAATTTTAAAAAGAGTGGTTTTAGTATCAAACGAATTTGTTTCAGGGACGTTCAAAGTACATTGGTGTCAATGGCATTGGCTAGAAAATAAACCAAGAATTTGAATCAAGGAGTTTCATAACTCAGGAAGGTTGTTCAACATGATTGACATTTTACATGATGTAATGTGGAAATTCGAATTTTTTTCATTAGGAGTTCTGAGGTTCAGTATTAACAACTTTGAACCAAAAAAACCCTACTTATCTTATACCCTTGCAGTGTAACAAGTCCAAAGATATGAAACAGCAAGACGGCAGTTAATTTTGCAAGGAGCTGTGGAAGAAGCAGGAAGAAAGAAGTTTCATTCAGATGCAGACTGTTGCAGAATATGTGAAATTAATGAGTGACCCTCTCTCTCTCTCTCTTCTTATCCCTGTCAACCTACAAGAAAGTGATGCTTGAAGGCTGGCCAGTCCTCATGAATAATGCAGCCTGCCAACCTATGAGTTCTTATCTGCCCCATTTAGCTGTAAAAGCAAGAGTGGGGTTTCCTGCATGTCAGGGGAACAGATTGTACTGCAAAGTACAGTATCCCAAATGCTAGAGCTCTCCAAAAAAACCTTTTGATATTCTTTTCAGGTCAAGTCAGCCGTGTGGGAAAATTATGAGGTAACCAGTCATGGAATGAGGATTTCACATGTTTGGTTCCATCATTAGATGTTGCATTAATTCTCATGAAAAAAGTGGTATTTTTTGAATGTTGTTGTGGTGCTCCATCCAGCACATTATTTTTATGATCACAAGTGGTATTCACTGTCCATGTACATTTTTGATTCAACCCTCAATTCAGTACCACCTTTTGTCCTGTAAAATTTTGTGTCTCTAAGCAATGGTGGCCCTAAATCCAGGGTATTGAAAGAAATGAACGTTTAGTTGAGGGCTTCTATTGTAGGCATAACAAGCTTATTTACAGTATTGTTAGGCTTTTGAGTCTGCAAGAAATAAGTGCAAGCAAATACATGTACTGTATACTACTTTTCATACCGTTTTTCATAAATGGATTAAGGCAGAACATGTTGGATTTTTGTGGGCCATCATGAAGGAATCTCCATTTTTTCCAGGAAAGCCTCCACATTTATTTTTAAATTCAAAATGAAGGAAGCATCAAGCAAGAAAAAATATTATTTTTCAACAATGTAAATCCCAAAATAGGATGCATAAAATTATCCCAAAATTTTATGTGAGAATGGGGACATGATTCACAGTTGTAAAATAGTGATTTCCTGAAGAAAATTACATGCTGTTTTCAATTCATCATCCATGGCAAGGTTTTTTATGGCACTGAGTGCGTTGGCATTGAAATGGGGTTTCCCTTGAGAACACAATTGATTGGGATTTGTTATAAAGGGAATGTATGGCAC